TTTTCAAAAGATTTTTACATGAGCGTGTAGAAAAATGTTTGGTCTACCATCATGTTCAATGGCAACTTTTTCCGATCAAAAACGGCCAAGAAATAGCAAAAAAGGAAGAAATTTTCGAAGAGTGCCTTTAATTACCCCGAAGTACTCTAACTGTTGCAAGTCGCTTATCAATAAGAGAATTTCCAATAATTGCAAATTTAAGTTCCACAAATCTAAATGGATTAGTTTCTAATACTTCAGCATCTTCGAACGTATTAAATCTGACGGTGAACTCAGATATGTCTAATATTAAGTTTCGTGATAGGATTTTGGAAAAATGCGATTTTTATGATACAGTTTTTGAGTGCATTTTTTCCAATAAATGTGTGCATGTAGCAGGAATACCAGATCCAAAGCAAGAAAATCAGAAAAACCTCAGAAAAAGAAGTTCAAAATTAGAAAATAAATAGACTTCTGAATAAAACAGAGCAGAAACGAGGCAGAAAAAGTTCCACAAATCAGAAGTTTTCTGCCAAAATCAGAAGAACAAGGATCCCTGGCAAGTAGAATAAATTTTTGCACTAGTTTATTGAATAAAGCGCACTTCGCTCTGCCGAAAAACTGAATCCACAATTTACAATCTCAACAATGTTGAAATGTCCACAACCTTTATAACAGAACAGGACGAACATGATGAGTCTTACGAACTGTGAAAATCTAAATGTACCGTTAAATTTAGCATATCTCTAATAGTCAACGATTAGTCTGTCTGATTTTTGATCGAAAAACAAAGCTTACTATTTACACATTATATTTTATCGAATTGATTATTCAATACCTAATAACAAATAAACATAACGGAAAAACAAAATTTAAAAACAAAAATACATGTAGAAAATACTGCCAATGTATTTATACTTATCAATCGTACAATAATAACCCTCAACAAAAGAAAAAGCAGCGAATGAAAAATGGATGATTTTGCAATCATTATTGTTTTTTATCACAGAAAAAACACAAAGAAAAATCCAAGAAATTACAATTTCATTTGTTTATTGATTCATTTTATTATAGCGTAACAATTAGGGATGCATCGATTATAACCGGTAAATTTCACCTTTTGTCTGAAACGGATTGCATGAAAAGTACGGATATTCAAATTTTTCTAACAACTAGGTTATATAGAGCAAACATTTTTTCTATAAGATGAGCTATGGCGGAAACCTTCATGTTTCTATTTCTGCCATAATCGCTTCTTGATGAAGTGGCCTAAATCGGTTGTAACCAATCATGGGACTTTTAAGAAATCTTTTTTTTATAAGTGCTAGATCAAGAGAAAGAATACTCTTATAGCTAGCACATCTTGTAGAAAAATATTTGCTCTACAAAACTCAGTTGTTAGAAAAATTCTAGAAAATCAGTTTTCGTTGAGAAAAAAGTGCATAATTTCAATTGATTATAACCGATGCATAGCTATTAACAATAATGAATTTTGATCTGTTTCCTAATGTTTTTTGTCGTTGGAAAAATGGGTAGTGGAGACGGCAAGTAACAAACTTCTACTGATCAAATAACTCTCCATGTAATCAATGTCGATTGTTCAGTTGTTTTCTTTTCTAAATCTCTCGCCTCGTTATACAATATTACACCAAAAATAACAATTATTGTTCCAAAACCACTCAATAATGTCACAGGATTATGAAATATTAATACGGATAACCAAATTAGTACTGCTCGTTTAACCGTATTAGCAACACTAAAATAAGAAAATGGTTGCTCATAAACAGCACAGTAAGCACGCCACATTAGACCAAGTTTATGGTTTTATGTAGCCAGGATATGGAATTGGTTATATATATATATATATATTACCTATCCGACACGGAGTTAGATAAATTTGAGAACACGCATATCGATTCAAACGCATTCAAAAGACAATAGGAAAGAGGCTCACTTTACGATCAGATAGTAGTTTCTAACTAAATAGAAATTTCAATTTAATGTTTTTTTATTGTACTATGCATTAAGTCTCTCATTTCTTACAATTTAACGGTTTTTCTCGACTTCTTTTGCTTAGAGATACACAGCGTTTCGACTGTTTGATAAAGACTCCAGTATCAGTAATTTATTTACTTATTACAAGTCGCTTTTATTGTACTTAATCAAACAATAACGAGATTATCTTCTATTACCAAGGAAAACATGACACAAGTGGTTACTTTGTACCACTTCGTGTTTTTCCTTATTTTACCTGTGCGTTATTGGTGAAACATAAGCCATAACAGCATAAGCCGAAACCGATTGAATGTGATAACACAGACCATTAAATATATACATAAAAAGTAATGTCGTTGATGTTTTATATAAAGACGATATAATATCCACATTATACAGTAGTAAGGGTAACTGGAAACCACAAGCAACTAAACTTGCCCAAAATTGAAGCTCGGCAGCCCTAAAACATACAGAAGAAACGAAATAACTTTTTAGTATTTAAGTGTTGTTATGTATTGTTGAGCTTAAGAAGCATTTGGGCTAGTTTTAGTTAAGATATATTTGAAAAAATCTAAAGAATTGAACTGAAACAATGCAAAAAACAAACTTTTGAAAGACTAATTTCCCAGTAAGAATCTAGAGAAACATCTACAATGAAGAATTAATGTTTATCTATGTTTATACATTTACTTACGTGTAACGATAACGCTCACCACTAATCAATAACTTTGAATAAACATTCTGCAAACTAGAATAATTGAGTAGAAACTTTTGACTGATCACCTCGTTCTTTCTTACATACCATTCAAACACATTTGTTCCAAGCGCACATACAAATCCACGAATATTAAAACTTAATTCAAATGAACTACAAAGAGCTAAACCAAAAGTGATAGGTAACATTGATAACTTGGTCCAATGACCTAAAAATAGACAATTCTTTGATTAACTAGAGGCGATAGAAGAATACAAGTGAATTTTCTCTTACCTGTTTTTTCTCCAGTCATAATTCTGCTAAGAATAACTGTAAATAACGGTGATGACGATTTGATTGTTGAAACAAATGAAACGGCAATATATTTCAAAGACAATAGTCCCAGAACGACTGTTACACATCTAAATAGAAGATAAAAAGCTATCTGTTATTATTATGTAGGTCTTACATAGATAAGATCTAGTAACCAACCTAGACTACTAATACTACTACCTAAAAGCCCCAATAAAAAGCATATCACGTAGTACAGTCTGAATGGACTGCTCTTTACGATGACTATTTGGATATAAACGATTCATTATTTGAAGTTGAATAAAGCCACTGATAACACTCACTACCAATTGATTCGTGCCTAAAACACGACAAGACGACTACATAATCTAAAATGAGTTTGATAATATATACCTAACGACAGAGCTTCACCACCAAAACTACTTAAAATAAATTTGTTTGAAAATAATGTGGCACCACCTAAAAACAAAAGAATAAAACCAATGCTTATCATCGAAAAAGATATAAAAGAACCTACTTGATATATACCAGATTGCTAATGACGTCAAAGCCATTGTATTATGTAAACCTTGTGGGATTTCTCCTAACATTTTTTCTGATGCACGATCGCCGCTGAGCACGATCCCCGCTTCATTTAATGAGATCATTCTCAAGTAAGAATAAAAAACCAAAAGTTTTTATTTCTGATTCTAATCTTTTTAATAGATCGTTTGTTTCGTCTTGTCGATAAATTTCATCTCGAATATACTACTCTAAAAAGCTATCTAGAAAAAAAAACAATAACATATCTATAACTGAGATCATTTGGCTACATAGTTTTCCCGCAGAAAGTGACATACGACTAAATAAAAGATGTTCATGTTGTGTACAAGACGATCACAGTCTTTGCGCTAGATATATATGAGAGTAACGATTTATAATTTTTATAAATATAAGAGCTTAAATTATTTCTAAAAAAATCTAAGACCCTGTCAAGGTATAGTAAACGTAAGTAAATATATAATATATATCATATGTATATACACTCATATCAATGCGCCCCTAGAAATAATTAATAGATTTAACTTGTATAAGCGTCTATTGGCCAAAAATCTCGAGCAGTCGAAATCTTGTAGATGACGCCGTGTAAAAACTTTTATCTTGAATTGTCAGACTTATTTTTCTCGTTTAAGTGTTAAACAGTATATATAACAAATAACACTGGAACGCTTGCGAATGTAGACGTTCAGAAGGCGTTTATTGCTGTTCAAAACGTGTTTAAAAATGTCTGACTTTTTCTGCAAAACTACAGAGATTTCTCTTTGATTTTTCATTATAACAAAGAAGCTATCTGTATAACACCAAAGAACCCTATCGAATAAGACCACAACTGGGGGGGGGGGGGGGGGGGGGGGGGGGGGGGGGGGGGGGGGGGGGGGGGGGGGGGGGGGGGGGG